AGTATGGCTCTTGTTCTGATAACCTTATAGTGTTAGGGGAGGGGTCACGCTAAGTATGGCTCTTTATTTCATAGCTTTATAGTGTTAGGGGAGGGGTCACGCTAAGTATAGCTCTGTTCTTATAGCCTTATAGTGTTAGGGGAGGGGTCACGCTAAGTATGGCTCTAGTTTTATAGCGTTATACTGTTAGGGGAGGGGTCACGCTAAGTATGGCTCTAGTTTTATAGCGTTATACTGTTAGGTGAGGGGTCACGCTAAGCATGGCTCTAATTTATATAGCGTTATAGTGTTAGGGGAGGGGTCACGCTAAGTATAGCTCTTGTTCTTATAGCCTTATAGTGTTAGGTGAGGGGTCACGCTAAGAGTGGCTCTAGTTTTTATAGCATTATAGTGTTAGGGGAGGGGTCACGCTAAGTATGGCTCTTGTTCTCATAGCCTTATAGTGTTAGGTGAGGGGTCACGCTAAGTGTGGCTCCAGTTTTTATAGCGTTATAGTGTTAGGGGAGGGGTCACGTTAAGTATAGCTCTTGTTTTTATATCGTTATAGTGTTAGTGGAGGGTCGCGCTAAGTATGGCTCTAGTTTTCATATCATTATAGTGTTAAGGGAGGGGTCACGCTAAGTATGGCTCTTGTTTTATATCGTTATAGTGTTAGCGGAGGGTCACGCTAAGTATGGCTCTAGTTTTGTAGCGTTATTATGTTACGCGAGGGGTCGCTAAGTATGGTGCTATTTTTTATAGCGTTATAGTGTTAGAGCAGGGGTCACGCTAAGTGTGGCTCTAGTTTTATAGCGTTATGGTATTAGGGGAGGGGTCACGCTAAGTATAGCTCTTGTTCTTATAGCCGTATAGTGTTAGCGGAGGGGTCACGCTACGTATGGCTCTAGTTCTTATAGCCTTGTAGTGTTAAGGGATGGGTCAGGCTAAGTATGGCTCTAGTTTTTATAGCGTTATAGTGTTAGGGGAGGGGTCACGCTAAGTATTGCTCTTGTTCTGATAGCCTTATAGTGTTAGCGGAGGGGTCACGCTAAGTATGGCTCTAGTTTTTATAGCATTATAGTGTTAGGGGAGGGGTCACGCTAAGTATGGCTTTAGTTCTTATAGCGTTATAGTGTTAGGGGAGGGGTCACGCTAATTGTGGCTCTAGTTCTTATACCGTTATAGTGTTAGGGGAGGGGTCACGCTAAGTGTGGCTAAGTCTAGTTTTTATAGCGTTTTAATGTTAGGGGAGGGGTCACACTAAGTATGGCGCTAGTTTTATAGCATTATACTGTTAGGGGAGGGTCACACTAAGTATGGCTTAGTTTTATAGCGTTATAGTGTTAGGGGAGGGGTCACGCTAAGTATGGCTCTAGTTTTATAGCGTTATAGTGTTAGGGGAGGGGTCACGCTAAGTATGGCTTTAGTTCTTATAGGGTTATAGTGTTAGGGGAGGGGTCACGCTAAGTGTGGCTCTAGTTCTTATAGCGTTATAGTGTTAGGGGAGGGGTCACGCTAAGTGAGGCTAAGTCTAGTTTTTATAGCGTTTTAATGTTAGGGGAGGGGTCACACTAAGTATGGCGCTAGTTTTATAGCATTATACTGTTAGGGGAGGGGTCACACTAAGTATGGCTCTAGTTTTATAGCGTTATAGTGTTAGGGGAGGGGTCACGCTAAGTATGGCTCTAGTTTTATAGCGTTATAGTGTTAGGGGAGGGGTCACGCTAAGTGAGGCTAAGTCTAGTTTTTATAGCGTTATAGTGTTAGGGCAGGGGTCACGCTAAGTAGGGCTCTTGTTCTTATAGCGTTATAGCGTTAGGGGAGGGTCACGCTAATTATGGCTCTAGTTTTATAGCATTATAGTGTTAGGGCAGGGTTCACGGTAAGTGTGGTTCTTGTTCTTATAACCTTATAGTGTTAAGGGCGGGGTCACTCTAAGTATGGCTCTAGTTTATGTAGCGTTATAGTGTTAGGGGAGGGGTCACGCTATGTATGGCTCTAGTTTTTATAGCGTTATAGTGTTAAGGGAGGGGTCACGCTAATTTTGGCTCTTGTTTTATTCCTCATAGTGTTAGGGGAGGGGTAACGCTAAGTGTGGCTCCTGTTTTGTAGCGTTATAGTGTTAGGGGAGGGGTAACGCTAATTGTGGCTCTAGTTTTGTAGCTTTATAGTGTTACGGGAGAGGTCACTCCAAGTATGGCTCTAGTTTTTTGTAGCTTTATAATGTTAGGGGAGGGTTCACGCTAAGTGTTGCTCTAGTTTTAAAACTTCATCGTGTTAGAGGAGAGCTTTTAGGGCTGGAATATTACACAGTTTAGCGATGTTATGCATGTGAAAGAATGTAGTTATACAAATTTTGCAAACTTCTATAAAAAGAGAGACGGGAATCAAGACGATGCCTAGATTTTTTTACAGTAGTGCTTGGAATGACTGTATGGCCTCTAAATTTAGTTCAGATTTGGAGAGTTGAGGTCTTTCTGATTTGAGACTGGCAGTGTGATCCTTGGTGATGGTTGTCAGTCCCACTACTGGATGATGGAGACTTCAGCTCCTTAAATAAATGCTAAATTGTAATCTAACCTTGAGTAAACTTGTAGGAATTAGATCTAACATGCAAACAGAAGATTTGGAGGAGGGAATCATTTTAACTAGCTCACTTTGTTGAATTTAAATGATTCCAGTCTCTCTGCAGTAGTTACAATGTTCTCAAGATCTGGATTGGCTTTGTAGGGCAGCAGGTTTGTAGAGTTTAACTATGCAATTTTAATTTTTGCCTGTTTTTTCAATTTTATTACTGAAGAAATTCATAAAATCATTGCTGCTGTAGGCTGATAGCATCTGGGGTAGCGTAGCTGTTTGGTTCTTAGTCAATTTAGAATTTGTGCTAAATAATAATCTAATATTATTTTTATTGTTTTCTATGAGAGAGGAAAGAGAGGCTGAGCGTGCTGCAGTAAGTGCTCTTCTATAGTCTATAAGGATGTAATCCCTCCAGGCAGATTGGAACACTTCTAGTTTAGTCAGGTCCCATTTTCTCTCTAGTTCTCTGACAGTCTGTTTTAAAGCTCTAGTATGATCATTATACCACGGTGCAGCTTTTCTGCCTTATTATTTTACTTTTTAATGGAGCCACAATATCTAGAGTAGAACGAAATGTATCCTCTAAGCACTTGGTCTTAATACCTAATTCGGTAGGAATAGATGGACAGCTGATAGAAGCTGATAGAAGCTGATAATTGTGGAAGGTTTCTGATAAAGCTACCAGCTGTGGAGGAAGTTATCATCTGCTTAACACGATAGCTGGTGATGAACGATGGCTGTGCCACCTTTTCCTGTAGCCCCAATTCCAAAGGATAGTCCTGTCAACAAACAAAATCAAATTAGGGCTTTTACCTCTGTTAACTTATTGGTGTTCAATTGTATCTGCAGAGCAGGGCTGCAGGTTTTCATGGATATTTGTTTTTCCTGATTAAGGGGAATCAGCTGAGCTCCTGCTTGTTTCCCATGAAAACCTGCAGCTACATCCGCCCTTTGTGGATAAGATTGAACACCCCTGATCTAACTGGTGAACCAGCACCCTGACTTTCTTACTTCCAAGCTGACAAAGCAGAGTTTTTCTCCTTGGGGAGCAGCTTCTCCTTCTCTATTTATGATCCTGTATAAAGGTTTTGATTGCTGATCTGGTCCCTGAAAGAGTGGCAAATGCTCTGTCGATAGATAGATAGATAGATAGATAGATAGATAGATAGATAGATAGATCACTTTATTAATCCCAGAGGGAAATTCTTCTATTGCAGCAGTACAAAGCATAGTAAAGACTGAAACAAGAGCAAAATGTACAAGAGCAAAGTAATGTCGTACACTATTTACAGATGCATAAATAGGAAGTAGAGATAAATACTAAAATCAAATATGTTAAAACAATAAAAGTAATGTGCAGTACAAAAATACAAAGTTATTGCATAAATACTATGCAGTTAACCGTGCAGTGGTGCCTGTCCCTCCAGTGAATGAACAAGTGACTATAGACTGTAGCAATAAATGTCAACAGTTGTGCAATATGACATGTATGGATGCATAAACAAAGTAGCAGTGCAATATGAAATATGACTAAATGTATAATAAAAGTGGCAGTGCATAGTAATGTGAGTGGAGAGATGTAATGTAGTGTCCAGCTAGTGCCCAGTAAGTCTGTCCTGTCACTGGCTCAGTGTACAGTAATGTCCACAGTGAGGAATCTCATAATTAGGTCTATGAGGACATAACTTGATCATGTCTAAGTGAAAAGAATTTACTGTAACATGAAAAAGTTTGACATCTTGTCACAAATGTCATGAGCTCTGGTGAGGAAACGGACTCAATCTGGAGATCAATCTGACATTCCCTTTGCACTCAGCCACGCACACAGACTCCTCAGGGAGATCAGCTGACTCCTGAACTGTCCTCACGCTTCTATCAGCGTTCTAGATCACCTGAATACTAATGTGTGACACCTGTATGTTTGATCATATGACATCCTTAGCTTAGCTTATAAGCCCAGGCTTTAGCCATAGACAGTTGTGAGGTATTGTTTTGATTACGACCTACTGAGCATTATATCTGTTGTATACTTCTGTGAATGACCTGTATTTTTTGTTGCTCTGGCTCTTTGTTTGCTCTGCCCTTTGAATTGTTTGCCCTGGATCTCTGCTTACTGTGTTTTGACCTTTTTGCCTGTTTCTCAATGATGACCTTGGATTCTGATTGAAACATTAAAGCCTCCTTTTTGTTCTTTATCTGCGAGCATCCAATTCTGTGAACTCATTCCACACCTAAACAGGTAGCTTCTACTTAAAGAGAAAAAAACAGTAGCTGTGTTTTCTGATTTAAATGGGATCACACAGATAAATAATTAAGCTATGAATGTCTTTTCCACTTATTTCTAAAGGCAAAGACAAAGTAGAATATGGAGAGCAAGGTAATTCTATTAAATTTCCCCTGATTACACTATACTTATACTATATTTATTCTGACTTTTACAGACTAGCTGGGTGTGGTCTCACCACAAGTTCTTGTGAGAGTCTTTCATCAGCTGTACACTCATCTCTGAAACAGCTAGACCTGAGTAACAATGACCTTCAGGATTCAGGAGTGAAGCTGCTCTCTGCTGGACTGAAGAACTCGCACTGTAAACTGGAGACACTCAGGTGAACTTTGTGTTTTTTTTAGTAAAAAAGATAATAAAACTGCAATCTTACAATAATAGATTTATATGCAATTTTAATATTCATTTCACATAAATTTAACTTCTACTGAATCTCATTCTCTAGCTATCCTTGAAATATAAAAATACGCTAAAAGTATAGTACACTGCCCAAAAAACATAATATTCTTTTCTCTTTATTCTGAAATGCTTCTTTCTGTATATTGCAAGATCTTTTCTAAGTTTAATTTTATCATATATTGGTTGCATTTTTGTGGCAGTTAACTTTTTGTGGTCCTAAACAGTCCTAAGCTTCTACTTAGAGAGAAAAAAAACAAGGGATGTGTTTTCTGTTTTAAATGGGATCACATGGATGAGTAATCAAGCTATGAATATCTTATACACTTCTTTCTGAAAGACAAAGTAGAATATAGAGAGTAAAGTAATTCTATTACAGTTCCCCTGATTACACCGTGTACTATATTCTGACTTTTACAGACTAGCTGGGTGTGGTCTCACCACAAGTTCTTGTGAGAATCTTTCATCAGCTCTACAATCTGTAAACTCATCTCTGAAAGAGCTAGACCTGAGTAACAATGACCTTCAGGATTCAGGTGTGGAGCTGCTCTCTGCTGGACTGAAGAATTCACACTGTAAACTGGAGATACTCAGGTGAACTTTGTGTCAATTAAATGTTTTGTAAGAAAATGACAGGATGTAATAAATGGTAACCTTACAGTAACAGATTTGTGTAATTTTAATATTTATTTCTCATGGTTTTATACTTCTACTGAATCTCTTTCTCCAGCCTTCCCTGAAATATTAAAACACATAAACAGTATAATGTGCTACCAAAAAACATCATATTCTTTTTCTCTTTAATTATTCAGAAATGTTTTTTTAAGTATATTGCAAGAGCTGTTCTAAGTTTAATTATATCATATATTGGCTGTATTATTTATTATTGCAGTTAATTTTCTATGCCACTAAACAGGTAACTTCTGCTTAGAGAGAAAAAATATAAGCTATGTTTTCTGTTGTAAATGGGATCTCATGGATGAATAATCAAGCTATGAATATCTTGTATACTTCTTTCTGAAAGACAAAGTAGAATGCAGAGAGTAAAGTCATTCTATTACAGTTCTCCTGATTACACCATGTACTATATTTTGACTTTTACAGACTAGCTGGGTGTGGTCTCACCACAAGTTCTTGTGAGAATCTTTCATTAGCCCTACAATCTGTAAACTCATCTCTGAAAGAGCTAGACCTGAGTAACAATGACCTTCAGGATTCAGGCGTGGAGCTGCTCTCTGCTGGACTGAAGAACTCACACTGTAAACTGGAGACACTCAGGTGAACTTTGTGTGAATTAATTCTTGAATAGAAATAAGCTGATAAGGCACAATAAAATGTAAACATAAAATACTAACAGAATTAATTAGGATTTTGAAATTCTGTTGTTTTTTTTTCACTCTAACCTGAACAATAATATAAACATAAGCAAAAATGTTGTAGTATGTTATCTTTCTCTCTCTCTCTCTCTCTCTCTCTATATATATATATATATATATATACATATTTAAAGTATCGTTAAAACCGCAGACGATTACCACGGTGTGAAAAACTCGCTGTACAGTGTCAAACAAAGGCAGAATCATTCTCTCAGATGCAGCTCTGTGTGTGTGTGTGTGTAGAGGGAAAGGGGGAGAGAGGGAGAGAGAGGGAGAGAAGGGAGAACATAGTGGAATATAGTGACAGAGATTCTGAGATATTTCAGCCTTCTAAGAAGACCAAGTCTGACGTTTGGTCATATTTTGTGTTTTATAAGAAAGCAGAATGAAAGTTAATTGAAGATGACCACCCTGTCTGCAGAACATGCCGAAAGAAAATAGCGGCAAAAGGGGGCAACACATCAAACCTTACGAGTCATCTTCGCGACCACCACCCGCTACTTTTTAGAGAATGCAAGGTTAACTTTAACGTAGAAGTCTGTGGGGACTTCGAAATAGAAGAAATATCATGGTTTGTGTGGTTTAACTTATGCTTATGGTTCGTTAATAATATAAAATGAAGGTTTTAGCGTCAAAAAAGAAAAAACAATCGGTGAATCGAAACTAAAACTTTTAACACATATTTCTGTGGAGCAGTGTCTCCAAAATGAGCTCTGAGTAAACAGTCACACAAGCTCTGGAACGAGACGCTGCAAAAGTTCAATCTGCGCAATTCCTCTGTAATTTTGGCTGTTTTTCTTGGTGCACTGTATTGATTAGGGGCAAAGCGACAACGGCACAATAATGCTGCAATTGCAGTTTGGACAGAAATCCCCCCGAGTACAACACTTCTTAGAAGTAGTAATTTTCCATTAAGACCCACCTGGTTGGTAAAGATTTAATTCTCTATGCAGGGAAATCCCTATTGTAATTATTAATAATAATAATAATAATAATAATAATAATAATAAAATAATTACAGCAGTAATAATAATAATAATAGTAATAACAGTAATAATAATACACTTGCTATTCTTTTGTTTACAGAGTATTACAAGTATTGTAAGTAATACAAGAGTAACACAAATGTATTGACTATTTTTTTAACAATATCGCAATAATACCAATAACTGTGATAGTTTTGGTCATGATAATCGTGATATGAAATTTTAATATGTTTCATCTCTAGTGTATATATATATATATATATATATATATATATATATATATATATAGTTACTGTATGCATAAATCCTTCTTTGACTACATTGTATTGCCTGTTTGCAGACTACACATCTGTAGTCTTGGTGCAAAAGCTTGTAAAAATCTGGGATCAGCTTTACAATCAAGAAACTCCTCCCTGAAAGAGCTGGACTTGCAGTCTCCAGTTTACAAAATGAACTCTTCAGTCCAGCTCTCTGCTGGACTGAAGAGTTCATTTTGTAAACTGGTGACACTCAGGTGAGTTTTCTAATTAATTCAATCCTGAATGAAAAAAGAAGTTTAGGAAACATTGAACTGGCAAATCAATAACTCAATGCCATTTTTATTGTATCTCTCTGTCCTTATACCTGTGAATAGTGCGTAAATCTTCTTTGAGTTTCTTTGAGTCTGTTGCAAGCAACTAGACTAACCACCAGTAAAAATGAGCACAAAATTTTTAGTTTTAGATTTTTTTGGTCAGTTTTCTTGTTTCTGCTATTAAGCTCATTGTAATTACATACATAATTGTAATACATACATTATTGTAATGACTAATATTTAGCATGTGCTCTGATATGCTAAATAGTGATTACAGACTACAGGAAACAACTCTAAATGTATTTGTATGGTGAAATGGTTTTTGCACTGAAACTTATTTAAACCTACTTTAGTTTAAAAGTGGAGCAGGAATATCTCCAAGGTTTGGTAGTAGTGTCAGTCTTGAAATTAGAGGAAAAAGATTTGAAAACACTGTTGATAGCTTTGCTTTAAAACAGTCAAAGAAGTACATTTTCTAAGGAAATGATTCACACAATGTTTAAACCTACATTATAAATAGTTTCCTATGGGAGGTCCCAGAATATTTTACAAGGTCATGAAATATTTGAAGTGGGAACTATACCTCCCACATGAAGTTGGGGATAAAAATATTTTATATTGTGAAGCTGAAGTTTTGTACCACCCTGCACAATGTTAAAAAAAGTCTCAACAGTGTGGTCAGTGTGCTGCTATTTCAGTGATGTAGTGAGCCTAGCAACCTTAGCACATAGTGTTAGAAATTCAGCAGGAACAGTCAGGAGACTGGATCTTCACATCTCGACTTTTATTCACGTGTTTGTAGAGAATCATGCACAGACACAGCTTGATCATCAGTCTGTCACAAGTCCAATGCGCACACAGTCTGACATGGTTGAAGTAGAGACACTGAGGGTCAGAAGAGGGAGCAAATAGGGAGGGGAAAAAGTTGAAAGGAAGGAGGATCAAAAGAGGAGAAGGTGAAGGGGGGGAGGTGAAGGGGTCACGGTTAAAAGTGACAATGTCCTCACCACAGGAGGGACAAAAACAAAAGGACATACAACTGTAAGTAAATACAGCAAGAAAAGAAGAACATGTTGGAGAATAGAAGAAAACACGTGAAAGAACATGTACTTTCTCTTCATAGCAAACCCAGACTATGGCTGTACATAAAAACATATAAACACATATATACACTGTAACAGTGCTGTAACTGATGGACGAAAACGGGGTTTCTTAGCTGCTCAGGAATTGCAGAAAATTTTCAGCTCTTGTTACTGGATCACTTGTCACATTCTCAAAGTTTTTACTGAGCTGAGAAAATCTGCTTTTAGTTTCAGTGCACCAGTGAACTGGAATACATTCCAGAAAACTCTAAAGCTCCACTTGCTGGTGTCACTCCATCATTTTACACTTTTAAACTCTAATCATCTCCACTCAGCCTGCAACTGTTGATATGATGTTAGTTCTTTACTGTTCATTTAATTTTATTATTAGTTGACACTTATTTGGAGAGTCAACTGTAGATGTCTTGTAGATGCTTATCTTTCATTAATTTTTTCTTCAATTAAATATCTATTAAATCACCTTAATCTACATAAAACTTAACCTGAGCCTAAACCCAACCATAATATCATCCCAAAGCCTAAAACTAACCCTCACCCTGGTGATGAATTTAACCCTGGTACTAATCCTCACCCAAATCCTAATACTGTTGAGAGTCAGTGGAGGTGCTTCAGTGATGTGTTCTCCATGTCACAGGCCCACTATTTTTAAATTACTGTTCTGCATTCATGTTCTACCTAATAACAGTTGCACATGACAGACATTTAAAATGCTCACAGCTTCACAATGTGAACAATGTCTGTTTACAGCATCTCAACAGCAGAGTAATTGGAGCACAATTAGGTAAAATATCCTAATGTAATGTGCCTGAAAGAGTCATATGCTCACAGTTAAAAAGATCAAAGGAGGCTTTACTGATAGAATCAAAGTCCAGTTTTGTGGTCAAAAAACAAGCGTGGGTCAAACCCAGAAAACACAACCAGTACAAAAAGACAAACATAACAACAGGCGAACAATAAAAAAGGGTCAGTCAAAAACGAAATTTTGAGAAAACAGGCTAAAAAGGTCACACACAGTGATATCATGAAAGCCAAACAATCCAAAGGGTCGGGTAAAAAGGAAGAGTCGAGAATACGGACAACAGTGGTCAAAAACAGGAGTCAAACAACAACAAACCGCTCAGTAGATCAAAAGTGATACAATACCTCTCAAACTGTCTCTGCTAAAACCTGGGCTTATAAACTGAACAAAGAGGGTCATATGACACAGCGCTGATTGGAGTGTGAGGGAAGATCAGGAGTCAGGTGCTCTCCCAGAGAATTCTGGGAGATGGAGTCCAAGTGTGCCTCAGAGCCAGATGGATGTGTGACACCTAATAAGATCAGAAATTGAACATAACCCTCACTCATTTACAAATTACAAATGATCACCATATAAAGAATCCATTAGATTCTCTGATAAAGCTGTGTAGTAAATCTTTAACATATTTGTCCAAAATAAGCTAAAAAAAGGAAATTATTAGAAACCTCTTGGGTGATACGCTCCCCAATTCACTGCAAAATGATTTGTTTGGCTGCCCTAAAACAGGTTTTATTACATTTCTATTAAAAAGCTAACAGGATCTAAGATATAAAGAACTGATCTGTTAACTCAAAGTTTTAGATTCAGCACACTCAAAAAAGGCAGTCATGCACGGCAAAAACCATGGCTAACCAAGAAGAACATACAGGCTTGTGTCACATTTGCCTTTTGAAGTAGTGTTCTGTGGATTAATGATTCAAAAGTGGAACATTTTGGAAAACAGGGGTGCCATTACATCTGGTGTAAAGCTAAGTCAGCATTCCACAATAAGAAAATTATACCAACTGTGAAACATGGAGGTGGTAATATGATGGTGTGGCGGTGCTTTACTGCTTCAGGGCCTCTGTGACTTACCATAATTGACAGAACCATGAATTCTGCTCTTTACTACAAAATCCAGCAGGAAGATGATTAGTCACCAATCATGATCTGAAGCTCAAACATAATTGGGTTATACAGCTAGACAACAATCCCAAACACAAGAGTAAGTCCATCTTCGGATTGCTCAAACAAGATTAAAGTTATTGATTGGCCTAATCAAAGTCCTGACTTAAACTCATTGACATGCTGTGACACCTCATGCTTAAAAGCCTTGGCTGAATTGAAGCAAAAAAGAGTGGAACAAATGACTTGAGGGTTTGGTTACAGTTGTTCTTGCAAAAGATGGCACAGCCATTATTTAAGTTTAGGGGCACTTACTTTTTCAAATGATGTTTTGAAAACTTTTTTGTTTTTCCTCAAGTTCTCCTTGTCTTATATTACATTTTATATGAGTGTTCTCTTAGCTCTCAATCACCTGGACTAAAGGTAGAGATGGGATGTTTATAGGACATTAAATTAGAAGGAGGAGGAAGATATGAAAGAAAGTAATGGAAATACAGTGTTTGAATTTGAACAGTGTTTGAACTTTATTTAAGCTAAATGTCTCAGTGCTCAGGCCAGCAGAGTGAGCTCCTTTAGTGGGGCTGACTGACCCTGTGCAAGAATCAAACTTAGGCCTCTAATACTAGAGACCAGCGCACAACAAGGCACCTCACCAACTGTAGACAAACACTGGTTAAACTAGCAGAGAAAATTAGAGAAGAGAAAGGAACAAACTTAAACCAGAAATTCAGTCACTCTGAGTCAGATATGAACTGTGGAACTATGGGTTTGAAAGCTGTCATGACACAGGCTGAACTAGAGGGAGGGGCAGAAATAAGTTACAGAGTAACATGCAAGTAAAGTGTAGTGATATCACTTTTCAGGTAGTAATAAGTAATGTAATCATATTTAATTTTGAAAGAAGTAATTAGCAAAATGTTTTACTTTGAGTTCCTACCCCAACATCGGTGGCCAAAGAGTTCCATTTTTCATCATTGATCAGCAAACAGCTCTTGCTTCCAAAGTGCCTCTATATAATAACTTTGTGATGCTTCAAGGAGGAAAATGGTTTCTGCTTTGGAGTCTTGGTTCTTCACTAAATCTCTTGCTAATCAAATCTCCTGGAGCTCTAAATCATAATGAGAGTAATTGATAATGAGAGTTTTATCATATTGTAATTAGTTGCGTGAAGATGTTGAGTCAGTTTGTGTTTTTGTTCCATCCTGTTCAGTGTCAGAGTGTTGATGTAACCTGTGACGATCCTCCAGGCTGTTTGGTTTGTTTTGCCCTGAATGTGTTGTGAAATTGGGAGGTGGAACTTGGACCGAATTGGCTACTAGGACACACTTGTGCACAGGTGTTTGGGTCTCTTTAAAAGGCTTTCCAATGTGGAGAGCTGGAGCCTCATCATCTCCCTCAGATGTTTGTTATGAATTGGCTGGAGGCTGGTCTGTAACAATGTGGGGACTTTTTTGTTTTTGGCTGTGCTTTTTCCTGGCTAATATACTTGCTGGTATTTGCCAGTGTTTTTTGAGGAGGGCAGGGTGAGTGTGGTAAGGTTAAATTGAAAATATTTCCTGTTAGTATTGGGCTCATATGATTAGTTTGGTTTTGTTTTGGTGCCAGTTTGGTTCATATTTTGTGCTAAGTGTGGCCTGTTGTTTTTTTTATTTTTATTTTTTTATTTATACTAATGGGCTTCAGTGCATAAATACTTGCCACTAGTAACTGTTTGAAGATCAGGGTCTACTTAGTTAATTGTCTCTTATCAGTTTCAGGTAGTGAGGGCTTTCACACACTTGTTTGACATCTTTTGTATCACCTTTGTATCCCTCTTTTTGTAGTTTAGCTATTTTTGGTTTTACTGCATAGAGTTTCTCGTTTTCCAGACCTCGTTAAACTTGAGGTCGTGTTAGAGGTTTGCCCTGGGCTCCCTGTGGATGGGGCTTCAGTAATTTTGGGGAACGACCTGGCTGGGGGGTGTGCATAGTGTGATGTGTCACCACCTTTACTGGTATTGCCCACTCCTGCTTGTCTCAGGTTTGTGATGAGCTGGTGACTTTTCTTGCAGCCTTTTGTTCTTAATATTTGTCAAAGGTACTGACAATGTGATGACGGATGCATTGTCACAGATACGATACCAGTCTCTTAATCTTTATACCTGTTACTTGTTGTTCTGTCCTGTTTTTGCTGTCTTTAAACTTCCCAGGGCCAGGGAAGTGCAAGACCGTATTGGATGGGACATGTCTAATATTGATGAAAATTGTAAAATATATATATATTTTTTGCAAATCTTAGTGGGTGGTGGTATATAAAGTTTATTTTTTATGTGGGGTTATGTCAGTGCTTTTTCTGAGGGAGAGGGTGTGATGACCCTGTGGGCTGTTAAGTTTGTTTTGCCGTGAGTGTGTTGCAGGTGGAATTGAGAGGAGGAGCTTTGACCTAATTGACTACTGAGACACACCAGTGTACAGGTTTTTCTTTTAAAGCCTTTCCAGTGTGAAGAGCTGGAGCCTGTTTTCTCTGTTTCTTTACTGCAAGTTCATTTTCTGGCCATCTTGGGGCTAATGCTGTCAGGAATCCAGCGAGTGGGCTTCAGTAGGGCTATCTTTGTGGTTTGCAACCCATTTTTACATAGATTGATTTGGAAATTGAAAATAAGATTTTACTTCAACTTTCATTTATTGTCTGCATCAATTGTTTATGAACTGGCTGGAGGCCAATTTAGTACTACAGCTGGGTTTTGCTGTATATAAATGCCATCTGTCCCTCTTTTTCTTTCCTTTCTGCAGATTGTCTTGCTGTATGGTTACAGATGAAGGCTGTTCTTCTCTGGCTTCAGCTCTGAAATCAAACCCCTCCCACCTGAGAGAACTGGATCTGACTTATAATCACCCAGGAAAGTCTGGATTGAAGCTGCTGTCTGATCTACTGGAGGATCCACACTGTAAACTGGAGAAAACTACAGTGAGTTACTGATTTACTGTCTCTGTACACAGACTGTATTTATCCACATTACTGACTGTAATGTTTTACGGTATATGTGTTTATTTTTGAATTGTGACTGAACACATCTTACAAACTGAGTTTAACTTCATACACGCTGAGTTTAACTTCATACACTCTGAACACGTCTTACACACTGAGATTAACTTCTTACAAATTTATGAGAGGCTATTTAGGCCAAAATTTTTACTTCTCACACTCGCTATCAAACCTCTCACACTTACTATCAAACCTGTCACACACACTGACAAAACCTCTCACATTCACCATCAAACACTCTCACACTCATTATCAAACTCTCACACTCAGTATCAAACTCTCACACTCAGTATCAAACTCTCACACTCAGTATCAAACTCTAAGGTGTTGTTGGTGGAGAATGTGAGAGAGTTTGACACGGAGTGAGAAAGAGCTTGATAGAGTGTATGAGAGAACTTGATTCCCGTTTTCTAATTGACCCAGAGAGTTATCAATTAAATCTACTGTTTCTGATTCGCTTATAGTCAAATATGCCCATCCCACATGTGCAGTAGTTCACTCTCCATAGAGTTCATAGAGTTTCTCGTTTTTCAGACCGCATTAAACATGCGGTTGTGTGAGAGGTTTGCCCTGGGCTCCCTATGAACAGTGGTTCTGTATGGAACTAGGAACACAAAAAGATCCATTTGCATGATTAAAGAGCTCTTTCATGGTGAAATGGTTCTTCAGATTAATAGACAATGTGCTGTAGATGGTTCTACATATGACTGAAGTCTTTTTGGTGCTATAGAGGTCCATGTATCTTTGGGTTATTCCATTTTCATTTCTACAGTATTGTGGAACAGAAAAATGGATCAATTCTCCTTTTTTCTGTTATTGTCAGTGGAAAAATCAGGAAATAGCTTTGTTTCCCAGTTTCACAAACTCATCATAAACTTCATTTAGTGACTGTTACAGCTCCAGACTTAAGAATTAAAGCTGTGAGCTCCGCTGCCCTGTGTACCTATTGTTCATATGATACTGTGGCGGCTCTGGTTTTGGGAAAGAGCTTTATAGGCGAGGTATGCAGAGCTGCGCTGTGGCTCCACTCCCCGTAAAAAGGGACGGTGTTGTGGTCTAATGTTGTTAATTTGTGTTATTTGTGTTATTCTGTAGCCTCTCCTGTATCCCCTTCTTCAACAACACACTCATCACTCATTTCTGAGTGCAACACCAACAACCAGCGCCTTTGGTACATTAAACTAAACTCTCACTGCGAGACTCTTTGTTGGGCTTTAAGTCCTGTTGTGCTGTTTGTTATGAAGGAAAAGTGAAGATTCACCATTATTTACACACAGAAACAACCAAATAATAATAATAATAATAATAATAATAATAATAGTTTATTTATATAGCACTTTTCATACATTAAAAATGCAGCTCAATTGTTTTATAATACAAAGTAAAATCAACAGAGGAAGAAGAGAATAAAGATATTCAAAAATAAAAAAACTATAAAGAATAAATAATTAATAAATAGCAGAAAATGGATATATTAGTAAATACAATTTAAAAATCACAAGATAAAACTATAAATAAAAAGAAAAAATATAATAAAAATACAACTAACAATAACATTAAAGTAATAGTAATATTCCAGTAAAAACAAAGGAAACAACAATAAAAAATTAATTAAACGCCAAAGTAAAGAAATATGTTTCTAACTGTTTCTAAAACACTGACTGGAGGAGTCTGACGGATGTTTATTGGTAACGTGTTTCAGATCTTTGTTGAATTAAAAATAAAACGCTGCCTCTCTGCTCTGTTTAAGTTTCATATGCGGAACATGGAGAAGCAGCACTGGATGATCTTAAAGCTGGATTAGGAACATCATCTATCAGCATTCAGAGACGTATGAAGCTGCTAAACCATTAAGAGATTTAAAGACTAGTAGTAATATTGTGTAGTGGATTCTAAAAGATACAGGCAGCCAGTGCAGTGATGCTAAAACTGCTCTAATATGATCCTGTTTTCTAGTCCTTGTTAAAATTCTCACTGCTGCGCTTTGCACAAGTTGTAGTTTGTTGGTTGTACTTGCAGGAAGTCCTAAAAACAAAACATTTCATTAGTCAAGTCGAGAAAACACAAAAGCATGGATCAATTTTTGCATCTTGCAGACAGAGATCAGGTCGAACTCGTGCTGCATTCCTTAAATGATAAAAAGCAGTTTTGGTAATATTATTAATATGTGCTTTAAAAGTGAAATCAGAGTCTAGAGTTACACTAAAATTCCTAACTTCAGTTTTTATTTGTAGATCCAGATTTCCACATCTTTCATTCACATTTTTCCTCTTTGCTCCATAACCAATTATAATTATTTCTGTCTTTTCTTAATCTGTCTTTGCTGTTCATCTAGCTAACTATGCTGGACAGACATATAGTGAGCTTATCTACTGAACTAACATTGTCTGGAGCCACAGATGTACACAGCTGTGTTTCATCTGCATAACTATGGAAATTGATGCCATGCTTCCTAATAATCTGACCCATACAAAAAAAAACAGAAGTGGACCAAGTACAGAGCCTTGTGGTACACCACAGAGAATATCATGCTTATCTGACATATGTTCACCTATGTTTACAAAAAACTGTTTGCCAGTTAAATATGTAGAGAACCAATTTAACAAAGTTCCATTAAGACCAAGTTCTCAAGCTGATTGAAAAGGATTCTGTGGTCTCTAGTATAAAATGCAGCAGGTAATCCAGAAGTACAGAAACATCACCAGCATCAGCATTTATTCTCAGATCATTCACAACCTTCACTAAAGCAGTTTCAGTGCTGTGATTTGCTCTGAAGCCAGAAAGAATTTTTAATGAATATTGTGTTCATTTAAGAATTCATTAAGCTGTGAGAGACTATTTTTCAATTATTTTGCTTAAAAATGGAAGATTGGTTTGTACTTGCTAAGAACTGAGAGATCCAGGTTCTGTTTCTTTAATAGTGCTCTTACAACTGCTGTTTTGAATGTGTCTGGAAAAGTGCCGGTTTCCAAAGAACAGTTTACAATGTCCAGCACACCTGGACAAAGATTGTCAAATACTTCTTTAAAAATGCTGTTGGAACAGGATCTAAAAACACAGGTAGAGGAATTTAACTGTACGACAACTTTCTGAAGTTCTGTCTCAGTGATCTTTTTAAAACTATTCATAGAGTTTTGCTGTTGAATAAAAATAGAGTCTATCTGTAGTTTTGGAGTGATTGAGCGTGACTGAATGTTGGTGATTTTTGTATTAAAAATAATGCAAAATCATTACATTTTGATGTTGAAGCCTAAGTCAGATAATCATTGGTTAACTTAGGATTTAACAGGTGATCAATTATTAAAAATAGAACTAAATTATTAAAATAAAAATAAAATTTGTGTCTGTTGTCATTAAGTTTTGAGTAGTATTTCTGTCTCTCTGTTCATATTTAATTTTTATAAACATTCATACAGTTTTTAAGAACTTCATAATGAATAGTTTTTCCTCCATTTCTGTTCTGCTTTGCTTCCTTTTTCTACTGATTCATCTGTTCATTTTTCCATGGCATTTTTGTGGTCAAGGACTTCTTTTTAGTCTTTTCTTGTGCAACATTATCTAGAACAGATCTTAGTTTACAGTTAAAATTGTTGACCATGTCATGCACTGTTGAGTTAACATGTAGAGGAGGTTTGTAATGTAGAGTGTTACTAAAAGCAGCTGCTGTTGATGTTAAAATACATTTTTTCTTCATTTGTTTTTCCATCTTTTATGCCAACAGATGCAGACATACTAAAATCCCCACAGTAGTGATCAGAGATTGTGATGTCAAGGATTAATTTATATTAATAAATAAACCTCATGACAGACTAAATCTAAAGTGTGACAGTGAGTGTGTGTTGGACTAGTTCTGTGCTCAGTAGAATAAAATGTATTTAATAAATTCAGAAGCTTTTTGTCTGAAGCTTCATCAACATGAACATTAAAATCACCATCAGAAGAATCTGATCATGATTAGTTAGACAGTAGTTCAGACAGTTCTGGTAAGAAGGAGGTGCATATTTGAGTGGATGATAAAGAACCACCAGCAACACTGGTTCCTGACCTTTAAGTAGAACAACAAGATATTCTAAAGAAGAAACTGTTCCAAATGAAATGTGTTTACAATTAAAAATACTTGAAAAAACACAGCTAGACCACCTCCCTTCTTACCTTCCGTACAGTATGGATAAAATCTGTGGAGCAGTTTCAATCAGGGAAACTGCCCCGTCTGAACTAAGCCAGATTTCAGTATCATAAAGTCCAGTTTCTGTTCAGAAATAAGATGATTGACAGTGCTGGATTTGTTAATTAGAGTTCTTACATTCAGCAGTGCTGTTCTAAAATCTCTATCTGACTCTGTTACGGTGCAACAAACTTACAAACTTCAACTAACTTTAATTATTTATTCCTTTAGTTCCTGTAGTTTGTACTGCATTTCGACTGCTTACTACAGTTTGAACAGAGAAGTAACCGTTGGTACCAGATGAGCTCTTTGTTTTATTTACTTCTCTATTTTAATGTCACATTTTACTGATTCCTTTCTTGTAGTTCAGAGATTAAAACGTGGATCAGCGGAGACGTAGGTGGAGTCTGTCTCTGTGTTAAAGAGAAGGTATTTCCCAAAAAGTGTTCTGTCAGTAAAACCCAATTTATTGTCCTCAGTCCAGCTTTTCAGCCATTCGTTTAGCAAGTAGAGTCTGCTAAAAATCTCTTTTCCTCTTCTAAACGTTGGCAGAGTGCCAGAAACTACAGCTCTGGCTGTTGCTTTTTCCTGTTTGCTACACAAAAGTGTTGTAAAATGGTCTTCTAAACCTTCGCTCTCTCGATCTCGTGTGTTGTTCACTCCTGTGTTGTTCACTCCTGTGAACAATGACGGAACCAGTATCCAACCAGAGAGGGATAAAACAGACACTTCACCTTTAGCTGGAGCCGAGTTCACGTTCCTCATGATCGAGTCTCCGATTACTAAAACGTTGGTGGAGGGAGGAGCAGAGGAGGAGAGAGAGCTCAGTACTTTGAATCTGTTGCTGGTAGTAAGTTCAAGCTGAGGTGATGGTGGGGATCCAGGCCGTCTTCTGCGACACTGGCGTTCCCAGACTCCACTGTCCACAGGCGGGGGTGACCATGAGAGTCCCCGGTGTAACTGGCTGTTCTGGCCTGGATCAGGTGACCTTTGGTCGGCATGGAAGTTGCCCAGACGCCGGTGGCCCCGTTGCTTAGCACACCGTGTTTCCCATGACCCTCCACAGGTCTGGGTAAGATGGCCGCTCCAGCTACACGGGAAGCTGCGCAAGCCGCCTCGAGGCGAGTTTTTGAGTGTAGAGTTGAGTCTGACGGTCCAACAGTGACTTAATCTCAGCGTACAATGAGTTTAAAATAATAAAAGAGTTTTAAAATAAAAAAGTGTAAAAAGTATGAAAAATGAGAAAAAATATTTATTTATTTATTGTTACATTTTTTCTCGTGGAAAAAAATGAAAGTAAAAATAAACAATTTAAAAATAACAATGTATATAAATGTTCATGTATGTATAAAAAAGTTAAGTGTAAATGGCTAAAAACATCTAGTTGTGTTCGCTTAGCTTGTGTTGTGCTAAGCCAGGCTGCTCTCTGTAGCTTAAAAGAATTGAGTTACAAATACTAACTAGCTACAGCTAACTAACCTAGCAATGTGATTTAGAGCTAACTAACCTAGCACTGTGATTTAGAGCTAACTAACCTGGCAGTGTGATTTAGTGCTAACTAACCTGGCAGTGTGATTTAGAGCTAACTAACCTGGCAGTGTGATTTAGAGCTAACTAACCAAGCACTGTGATTTAGAGCTATTTAGCCTAGCAGTGTGATTTAGAGCTATTTAGCCTAGCATTGTGATTTAGAGCTAACTAGCCTAGCAGTGTGATTTAAAGCTAATTAGTCTAGCAATGTTATTTAGAGCTAACTAGCCTAGCACTTTGATTTATAGCTAACTAACCTAGCAATGTGATTTAGAGCTAACTAGCCTAGCATTGTGATTTAGAGCTAACTAGCCTAGGGGTGTGATTTAGAGCTAACTAGACTAGCACTGTGATTTAGAGCTAACTAGCCTAGCATTGTGATTTAGAGCTAACTAGCCTAGCACTGTGATTTAGAGCTAACTAGCCTAGGGGTGTGATCGAGAGCTAACTAGCCTAGCATTGTGATTTAGAGCTAACTAGCCTAGCTGTGTGAGTGAGACTTCACTAGCCTAGCATTGTGATTTAGCACTGACTAGCCTAGCACTATGATTTAGAGCTAACAAGCCTAGCACTGTGATTTAGAGCTAACTAGCCTAGCAGTGTGATTTAGAGCTAACTAGCTTACCAGTGTGTTTTAGCACTAAGTTGCCTAGCAGTGTGATTTAAAGCCCAGCAGCCTAACTAGCTGATTTGATCAGTTTTTTGTTTTTCTTTATTTTAGTTTAATTTTATCTGGACCGTAAGGTTTGAAGGGTGTTTTGTACTGTAATGATCTGTTTTAGTCTTTATTTTAGTTTTGATTTGATATGAAGTTTATTGAATGTATAAATGTGTGTGTTTGCTCTTCAGGGTGGATCATGGAGGGAAGATCAGGATCAAACCAGGACCACAGAAATGTAACAAACACACACACAAACTACACACACACACAGACACACAAATACACTCATTTATATATAAATCATACAAACACACATACATACTCATATCTTACAGAGTCACACACACATTAAATTTTCTGTGTTGTGTCTCCTCTGTGTGTGTGTGTGTGTGTGTGTGTGTGTGTATCTTTGTGTGTGTGTGTGTGTACAGATGCTGTTGATCTCACTCTGGATCCAAACACAGTGAGCAGGCGTCTCTCTCTGTCTGAGAGGAACAGAAAGGTGAAGTGTGTGGGAGAAGATCAGTCGTATCCAGATCATCCAGACAGATTTGATGTCTGGTCTCAGGTTCTGAGTGTGGAGAGTCTGACTGGACGCTGTTACTGGGAGGTTCAGTGGAGCGGAGAGGCTGAAATATCAGTATCATACAGAGGAATCAGGAGGAAAGGAGTCAGTGATGACTGTGGGTTTGGAAACAATGATCACTCCTGGAGTCTGAGCTGCTCTGATAACAGTTACTCTGTCTATCACAATAATCAGAGAACTGACCTACCTGCGCCCCCCTCCCCCTCTAACAGAGTAGGAGTGTATCTGGACTGGGGGTCCGGCACTCTGTCCTTCTACACCATCTCCCCTAACACACACACACTGACCCACCTACACACACTCACCACCACATTCACTGAACCGCTCTATGCTGGAGTCTGGGTTTATTCTGACTCCTCAGTGAGTCTGTGTGAGATAGAATAACCTCTACAGAGAGATAGAGATACAGAGAGAGATACAGACAGAGAGAAAGAGGGAGAGACAGAGAGAGAGAGAGAGAGAGAGAGAGAAAGAAAGAGAGATACAGACAAAGAGAGAGAGCGAGAGACACAAACAGAGAGAAAGACAGTGAGGGGGTGGGGGGGTCAGACATGACATGAGTTTATATATGAGACACATTTCAGATTCACTGTTACAAACACATACATTTATACACACACACACATTTACACACAAACACACATTATACAAACACACACATGTAAAACCACATTTACCCAATTAATGAAAGATACTTTTCCTCCATGATGTACAATTTTTTTCATTTTCTTTACATTTTCTACCAGCAGAGTCCACTGTTCTACTAATACATTTATGTACTATTTTCCAAATAAGGTTTGTACATATAATGTTTTTTTTACAAATGATCATTGTTAAATAAAACTCAGTAATTACTCAAAACATTACAGCTCAGTTATATTCACAGACAACATAATTGAATTCTCTGTTCATGTTGTTTTGCAAGAGTTTCACAAAAAACACTTTTTTTTTACTGTCGGAAACCAAAGACTGGAACAGTAATATCTATTATTCCTTAATATAAGTTTTATGTAAAACAGTCTGTTTATATGTTTGAAATGTTAAGCATTTCAGTTAAAACTGAGAAAACAAATATGATCTTAGCAACATTTACATCAAACCTACTGGTAATGTATTGCCAAACCATACAAGCAAAGGTGGCTGGACTTTGAGCCTTGCCTGGGCCTGCTAGCTACTGATTACATCCATTCAAAGGAGTGATAACATTCAAAGCGGGTGGGCTAAAATCGAATACGATTTTTAGATGGGCCATGATCGATGGCTGTGAAAATAGCAGGATCTATATTAGAACCACGTACCCAGAACAGCACAAGTACGTCCCCTGTGACGTCCTATTTATATCAGTATGTCTTCAAAACATCACATTCCATTTCGAACGTTGTAAATGGATCAGCTGCATAGCGGGCTAGCGATTTAAATCATAATCATTGTCAAAACAGCCTCAGTCCTGATTCGACAGTGGAAGGAAACACAAGAACTGGCATTTTCTGATTTGTCCTCTCTTTATTCAGAGGCAACACAGAAACAAAACTGAAAGTAAAGCTACAAGGCAAGTGATTTGCAGCATTAACGGTAAGTTAATGCTGCAAATCGCCTTGCAGCTTTACTTTCAGTTTTGTTTATTGAAATGAAATCATGCAGCCGAGCCACATTTGTATAGTGTTGATATTGTTCTAATAGAAGCTCAGCTGCAGGAATTTTAATTAAACTCTCATGCGTTTCCTCGTTCAACATTAAAAATAAACACCCCCTGTTTGAATGTTTTTTGCTGAAGTCAAAGCCTCGTGCAATAAAGGTCTGGAGGGCACTGGATGTTACCCAAAGACTAGGCTTAATATACAGCTGTGAAATACCTGCTAATGTCAAAGTATTTTTCCTCATGTTACTCAGGGGCATTCATTATTTTTGATTAGCCTCCAACTTTATAAGTTAATTCCTCTTATTTCACCCTGATTCACATCACTCATCATATATGTGTTAATTCAGAGGCTGTTTTAAAATTTCAACTGTGCTGAACATGTAATAGAAAATTAACAGGACAATGTTTGTTTCATTCTGTTTACTCATTATTTGCACCATTATAAGAACAATCACATTAAAATTTTAGGACAGACAGATACTTTAGTTTAAATTTCCAAATTAATTTTACAGTGTGCATTTAAAACTTTATATGAGTGATAAAAAATCGCTTATCAAGTTTGATTAGGTTAAGAATTCAGGCTAATATTTGATAATTAGAAACGATTCCAACAGCTTGTAGTTTGATAAGCTGTGGGGTCTTCACTGACTTAAATAAGGTACCTTTAAAAGATGGATCTTCAATGGTTCTTTAGTAAAGGGAATGGTTCTATTGCTACAATGGCAAGTGTGTAACAATAGAAAAACACTTTCTCCATCAATATGAAGAACCATTTCACCAGACAAAGAAACATATTACCATGAAATGGTTCTATATAGGACTCATTGTTATAAATAGAACCATTCCCTTAACTAAAGCACCCTTGAAGAATCTTTTTAAAGTGTGTAGTTCACTTTGACTGGGGTAGCTCATTCAGACAGGTAACTAACTTAGCTAGTTCAGCTGTGGATTTATCCAGGTTTGCAAGGTTGTTGGTTCAGCAAGACGTTTTAAAATGTATGAGTGTGTGATTCCATTATTTAAACTGTAAAAAATGGATAATGACGTTTAAGGTTGAAGCTGGTAATTTTGCTGAATCATGTTAGTCATGTATGTATTGTTTCCTGTTTACTGACTGGGTGGGGCGCAGTCAGGTGGCAAAACCCCTTTGGTAACTAGCTGGTCACAAGATTGTAACATTAGTCAACTGTTGTAAAACATAGATTTCACATTGTTTGTAAATTCTTGTTGATGTAATCAAAAATTATATTTCTGAGTAGAATCTGTTTGTTTCTCCTTCATTTGTACATTAATATAACATTATGTAAAACATTAGCTAACAGTAGTTGTCTATCAGTGTCTGCTCATCATCTGGTCTCTGTAAGAACACACACACACACACACACACACACACACACACTGTTCTTTTATTCAGCTGTTTCTTCATTCATACATCCCTTATTCAACTCATCAGCACATTACTGACCCAACAGGACTTCAGCCTAAAAGTAGGTGTCTGGACAAATCTTCCACACCTGTAGAAAAAATGGCAGTTGATTATCAGTCTGTATCTGCTGTGATCATCATAGATAGACAGACAAATTGTTTATCTTTCTAAAAATCAACTTGAGCAAAAGTCCAAAAATATGAGGTCAAAAACTACTTTAAGAGGCTCCAGCCAAAATGATAAATGTAACCATTGCTTCATCTGTTGTAAAAAAAAGGTGTAAAATACAGGGGCCCTTGTGGGGTCTCAGAACCCCTAATAAACCTCTCGGACCCCTGAATGTCTCAAAATCAGTATTCTTGCGGTGGGCATGAAAATAAACCTATTGTGACATTATGCTGTCTGTTCAAGGAAAAACAGATGATCAAATACACATTCAGGGAGGGTCCTTGTTTAGCTGCTTCACCTACTAACTAGAGCTGCAGCACTGCTCTGCCTCAGTGTGGCGCTGTAGCAGAATGGTTCACCTAGCTAGTCCCTCATAGCCTAGAAACTGTAACTCTGCCTGGGAGAACCCTGAGGAACTTTACAGTATGTTCTAGCATATTTGTAAATTTGAAAACCTTGCCTGATTTACCAAGAGACTGGTGGAAAGAGTCGATTGTTACTCATTTCTTAAACCAAAGACAAATGAGGAGATGTGTAAGATCTCAACTGACATGTGGAAGAGCACATTACCAAACTAGAAAGGAGCATTTCATTGTTAAACCAAACACTGGTTTGGCACTGAAGCTAGCACCAGCGCTGCTATGGTGAGTGAATTAGCAGCCAGCTAGCACTGGAGTAGCCAGTGAACATGGGATCCCCCAAATAGCAGGGAGTATTTCATACACCAGTTGTAAACACACCTGCTTATCTACTATAGCAGTGCCACAATAGCCTTGAGAGTGAGATCTTTTGGTTCAAAGGCTAAAAAACTCCCTTCTGATGACATATTTTGAAGGTGGGTGGAGCTTTTGGAGAACTAATGTATTCAAGTGGACTTTGGGGGACAGGCTCACAAGTCACGTAGGTGATGATATTGCTAATAAGTCAAACATTACATCTTTATTTATTATTTAAATTTATTACTGTGGGGAGATTCCCACTGGCTGTGTGGCATATCTGTGTAATGCATGCTGGGTACTGTAGTGATATAACATTGATAGATAAAAACAAAGGATACAAAATTGTGAATTCTTTTAAACCAATAAAGGTCAAGAATTCAGTGTTGAATTGCAGACTATTACATAACATGATAACAAATTCCACATTAAACTATAAAAGTCTGGACCTGAACACCAGCAGAGTTGATCTATGAGACAGAAGTTTGGTGAAGGTGGAGGAAGACTATGTGTAATAATGTGTTCACTTGTGGATGGAGAACTGAAGGAATTCCTACTGCAAGAGGTTCTGTTGGCGATGGTGGGGGTAAGTTGCTGGAGAGTCATTGAGTAGCCGGTGCCCTCTGTGGACTTGATGGACTACGTCCAGGACAGTGGAGGTTACCTACAGGAAGAGGAGGCCAAGGTGGGAGACGATCCTCCTGAAAGAAACTCCCCTGCCTACTGAGCCTGTTTTAATTTAAGCTTCATGTACACAATTATCCCCTTTAACCCCAAACAGAGTCGTAGCTCTGCACTGCAGCTACGAGTCTAATGTAGCTAACAAGTACATGCAGGATTGGAGATTGCTGATCATTCATCAGCTCACAAGTGTACAGAAGAAGGAGGTGATACTTACTCTGGCTGAGTGGTGCAGTGTAACCAATCAAAGTATTAAAATCTGATCATAATATAAAGGAAATGCAATTAAGAAACAACAGAATATAAAAGCAATATTTCTGAGTGTGTTTGTACATAGTGAGCATGTCCAAGTGACGTGCAGTTGGTTTGACTGGGTAATACAAATAGTACAGAAGAACATCGTGTAGGAATACAGTGAGGTGGTTTGTACAAAGTGACATGGGCACT